GAACCCATCGGGTATGTTTTGCAAGGGGAAGCTACACTTGGCCCATGGGCTACGCAGAAAATAGGTACTTTCCGAGTCAGTTCCGTATTCATTGCACCAAAGGGCGCAAACGGTGCGGCTGAGGTGCAACAAAGCGCCGGCTCGCCATCTCAGCCTGGCAAAAGCTCACTCGGGCCATCGGAACTGAGTAAACTTCGGGAGATGCCTCCAATAACGCGGCTGGTCCTCTAAACTTGCTTGTGCTCAGGGAATCACGGGTCTTGGGAATGAACCGGAAGGGGCTTCAGGGACTTCCTTTAGGGCATGGCTTTTATTCCCTGCCTATCGAACCAGCAATCAAAAGGGTGGTTGTTTTAGGGTTCAGGGCTCTGGCCCTTCCAAAGGGTCACAGCCCGCCCGTGGAGCAAGCAGCACATGCGCTTTCCGAGACAAAACTGTCTGAGCCGCGCACACCATTCAAAAGGTCCAGCAGGATGTCAAAGCGCCGGGGTGTTCCCTCCAATGGTGAATTCCCACTAAAGGGAACACCCCCCCTATTCATCAAGCAGGGGTTGATTAAGCCGAGGTTCCCAACACAGAAAACTCGCCTTTGTGTTGCCTGGCACCTTGTCTGGGACAGTCCGCACTCACGACTGCGGCCTCTCTGAGTTCTGATCTTCGCGCCGTGCGAGGAGCAAAGGCCTACAGACAGGGCGGCGCGCGCAACCCAAGACACACACTGCTCAAACAAAATGCAATTTCTCAAATGGATACAGTATGGCAAATGATCAACAAACAAAGGACAAGCTGCGTTGAAACTCAACAGTTCCGCATCAAATTGGCAAGTCTCCATGGTCCAGTGCTTTGCCACACTGAGTGAATAGCACTGGCTAACCCCCGTTGAAAAATAAATCGCCTTCCGGCAAATAAAAAAATCGACCAAGTCCCCATGGGATCAGCTTATCGCTATGCAGATTTTTTTGCTGAGCATCATGGACATAGAGCCACCAAGACATCAACTCCTTACCCCTTAAAACTCCAAGCCCTGGGGAAGTTAATCTTTTACAGACATATAGCCCATGTTACCCGAAAAGTTGTGTTTTTAAGAGGTAAGACTCAAACAGCCAAACCGTGGCGAAACCAACTTCACTGCCAGACCCCCCATGTTGGTCAGAGGCCTGCCTGTCCAGTTGAGGTTGGCGCTAGTACCTGCGGATGGAACCCAGATTGCCGAAACAAGCACTCCTTTGTCCAATAGTCATAGCTGACCAAAGGCTTTCGTCTTCCAACCCCTCTTGTCCACTTACCAAGTGCACCGCTAAACAGACCGGAGCAAATCAGCGGCTTATTGAGCAGTTGAGTTATCCCGGCAGTGGCTGTTGTCAAACACCGGGTGGTGACAAATCCGGCTTGAGCAAACTTGTGCGCCAGCGCTTCAGCCTTTGGCCTGGTCCCCTTCGAACTTGTCTTGCCTTACTTAACTCCAAGCGAGGGCTTCCTTTGGACATGTAAGCCCCCTACCCTGCATTGACTGCAAGGGGTACCCAGGCGTGTCAACGGAGCGCACCTTGTCTCTCCTGCCTCAACAGGGGTGCCCCGTTGTCGTTGTGTCATTGTGAAGTCGAGATGGGCTTGTTGGAGACATCCGGCCGGGACAACTTCCAAGGGATAGAATGGCGTCTTCTTCCCTGTGGGGAAGCTCCCAACCTGGTTGATCGGAAGGGCAACCATGGGTTTTGCCCAGCAGCTCTCTGCTTCGTTTCATGTTTCTCTCTTGATGCATACCATTAGGAAATCACCAAGCAAGATGACGTTCATCACTTTTTCCATTTAAAAAGTGGCCCGTGGTCATTTTGGAGCCAGGAATATTGATCAATCCCCGCGTGGGTGTACCTTACATTCCCTCGCCGTCTGCATGGGTGCTCCTTCCTTTCCTTGTATTGACCTCATCTCTACAAGACTTGGAGCTTGAGGCTGACCAGCAAGCTCCTGGCAAAAAAGTGCTGCTAGCCAAAATGGAAGCCAAGCAAGTGCCATGCTACAAATAGCGCTGGCCTGCAGTAAATCGCGAATCGCGGCGTGGGTTCCCTGCGTCAAAGGTCCTGCCTTCGGTGGCACGCCGCGGCCCAACGCCAGGGCCATGGCAGCGGCAGGGGCGCAGGCCCTTTTGGGCGGTGAAGCTTCACACCCTTTTCGGTCGGGGAAATGTGTGACACGTGCCGTGTTTGTTCCTGAAGCTTGCATGGATTGGATTCAAAGATCCCCGCCCCCCCCGTGCGCATGGCCGCATGGCCTTGAGTTCGCACATGCGATTGAGAATCGGCTTGCCGCCGAGGCCATTCTTTCCGCTAGTCGGAAATAATCGCCTGCAGGCATTCAAAACGAATGCCACCTGGGTGTTGCGCAGAACCTCTAAAACAAATCATTTCCCAATAGTGCGCCGGAATTGTTGAACAATCGAGCACGTTGCTATCTGCTGAAGGTACCCGGTCCAAGGAAGCTCGCAAGTGAGCTGGGGGTACCTGAGAATGACAGGAAGCACAAATGTTTTCCAATAGGCTGCATACCAGCCAAAAGGCTCCACAAAAACTTCCAAACCTACTTATATTCCCACGTTTGCAACATTGCAACACAGCAATGGTCAAACAACACAGCGAACATATGGTCAAATACGATTCCATGAGCCGGGTTCAGTCGTTGAGTTCGGCAGGGAGGTGGTGAGTGAGGATCCTTTGCTCTGCGTGGGTCCATTTACCTGTATACTCGGTGGCGAAAGCTGCGAAGCCCTGCTAAAAGTTTTTAACTTTTCGTGGTTTAAATCGGAAAAAAACAACTAGTAGTTGGCAAAAAGTCATTCAGTCCTAACATCCCTAAGCAGAAAATTCACCAAAGAGTAGGTAATCGCGGGTGAATCACCCTTTAAAAAGCTACAGGGAAATAGCTGGTCGCCTTTCAGGGCAACTGGGATCTGAGCTGTGTACCTCACGGACTGAGAAGTCTGGCATTTAGTGGCAGTGAGCCGAGAAAAAAAAAAAAGAAAAAAAACAACGCAGCGATCCCGTGACGTTCTTTTTTCGAACTCTAAACATCGATCGAACGTTTTGAATGTGGCTTTGGTCGATCCACACCTATGGAATATTAAAAAGAGTACTAAAAGAGTACTTAAAAAAGACCAGCAGGGGGAAGAACAGGTGACAACCACGACGCCTGTCGCGCATTTAAACAGGTTTTCTAGAGAAAGGCATTCTCCCCTATTGTTCAAAGCCAAACCAGGTGGACCATGGAAACACCGTGACTCTAAAGTCAGCATGGACCTTCACCGCTAGGCACATGAAGCCCCTGGAATTTATTGGAATCGTTGCAACTCAAGGCTGGCCGACATCTATGCCTTATATCTTCAGCCCTGAAGGGGAGTGGGAGGCATTCAACTGCAATGTTGGGACAGCTATCAAACAACTCCCGGTGCGTTTTGAGGATGGACAATCCCTCTCCTTGCTTTGAGAAAGACTGCCTACATGAAAAGTCACAACCTTAAAGAGCCTGTTCTATCCTGGTTTCTGCATTCTGGCAAAAAGGGTTGAAGCGAACATTTGAGACCTTGAAAGTCCCAAATGCACTGGCTTTGTTGGGCGGATTGCCCCAACTCAATCCTAGTGCGTTTGCCTTAGTCGGCCGAACTAGCATCCCAGGCATTGTGGAGGGTATCTTCCATAGCAAAGGGATTTTTAACCCAGCTAAACTTGAGGAGACGGGACACAATCTGATTGAACAACTTGGTCAACCTTCAAGGCTAAACCTAGGATTCAAGTCCAGGGCAAAGATGTAAGATATGACCACACGTTGACCCGGTGGTTTTAATGGGGGAATAAAAGGAAAACCACAAAATCTGAATGTTGTCGCAATCGTGCTACATTGACAACTTGTCTTACCATGCCGTCCGCTTCCCATGAGCCTCAGCCGCCTCAAAAGCTCTTCCCGGTCCTACCGCGATCCGAGTTCAAGGGTAAAGCAACAGAGCTCTGATTGAACGAAAGACACGAAGGGGTCTGAAGCTCGAACAAGTGGTTGGTTGCACTGATTCTGGTGTTGGTGGCCTCTTTCAAACCATGTCCTTGGAACATCGCAGGAAGTCCGCAGGGCGAGGGGGTGGGCTTAAACAAACGACGACTGGCACCACAAACAAGAGCGCGTACATCGAGAAAGGCAGAAACTCAAAGTCTTGAATTTTGGAAGGACTATCTATCATCTTTCGTGCATTCCAATGCATGCTCAAGTGCTAACACAAAAACCACCCACAACGTCTTGAGTCAGGTGACCTTTAGGTGGCTCAGTGAGGGGCTGTTTGTTGGTCCACACTGGCCCGTTTGCACGTGGGCTGCAGCCACTTGGGCAGCAACGATGCAACGGTTGGCGCAAGACTGTCAAAATGCAAGCCATGGGGGGATATGAAGCAACCTCAGGACAGGGAGCAATTGTTGTGCCATACAAGAACTCGGTTGCGAAATCTGCTCCCCGGCTAAAAAGTTTAACTTTTCGTGGTTTAATGGAAAACCCAAAAGTTGGCAAAAAGTTAAAGTCCTAACATCCAAGCAAATGCAACACGGAGAAAGTAGTGAGGAGCGTCTGGTTTCCGGCTTGCAACGTGTTTTGCCCTCCCCCCCCCCCAAAAAAAAACAATGCGGGACCCCCTTTCGGATTTAGTTGAAAACACCTAGAGGAATTCCCCTGCCAGCTGCGTCACAATCCAAACCGCATCATGGGGACCCAGAACCCACCCTAAGGGTCCAAACATGTCCCGGGGCATCACATGTAGCTCGGGGGCGTCAAGTATGGAAGGCAAAGCCCCCAACTTTGAGCCTGCGCAGCAACACCTTGGTTCAATGTTTGCAAAAAACGACGGACGCTATCCAAAACTATCGGGAGTTGGGATCGAGGCCTTTCCCATGAAATCAATAGCAGCCAACTCTAACAAATGCTCTCCCACAGTATTTCTCAAGTTGAGTCTGCACATGAAGCTCAATAAGCGCACGTGCAAATCAATGCTTTCTGACGCCGACCTATGCGTGATCTATGTATAAAGCGATCAAACCTTTGTCGACGCCATGTTGCGCAAACCGATGCTTGTCTCGCACTGACGCTATCCTAACGAATCGGCGCCCTGTGATTAGAGCTGGCACTCGCTAACGCTATCCGACGCCTATGGCGTCAGAATGCCTCATTTTGGAGGCCCCACGCGATGCTAACCAACGCTAACCAATGCTATCCGACGCCTATCCGACGCCTATCCGACGCCTATCCGACGCCGCCTGTCCGACGCCTATCTGACGCTATCTGCCGCCTACCCGACGATATTTGACGCTATCGGACTCCTATCCGACGCCTATCCGACGACTATCCGACGCTATCCGACGCGTGTTTGACGCTATCCGACGCCATCCGATGCCCATCCGACGCCTATCGACTCCCATCCGATGATGTGGCGCTATCCGACGCCCATCCGACGCCCATCCGGGATGGGAATCCGACGCCCATCCAACACCTATCCGACGCCCATCCGACGCCGATGTGATGCTATCAAGCGCTTTGCGGTAGTTTCGATGCCTATCCAACGCTCGGGGCGTCAAATTGCTTCATTTTTGAAGCCCCATGGACAAGCTGTTTGTTCGGGCCCTCACTCTTACTCTTGGACCCCGAAGCCCCCTGAGGCCCCGGGGCAAGCAATGCACACCCCATCGACCCTTAGGGCAGTGAAGAATCAAAAGGAGGCTTTTTTCTCCAACAATCATGAAACCCAAACTGGAGGGTTTTGGAAGCCTACCGTCCTTTCTGCGGAGGCCCAACATGTTCAGCTCTTTGAAAGACGGCAGGTCCACTAAAACCGGGGGGGTTCTCCGCCGTCCTCTGGCACTCTGCCCGCCTGGCTTTGAGTGTTTTTTCCCCACTCCGGTGTCCAAAAATGCGCAACCCAAACGGCAACCAACACGTAAAATGGAGCTCAAAAAGGTTTGGGGTGGGAAGGCAGGAACCTCTGTGGAACATCTGGAGACATCTCTGAGGATCAGCCATGGGCGTGCAAACAAAAAGGCCCTGCGGTGATTGATTGGCTATGGGTTTCGTGGTAGATGTCTTCGAGGAATTTGCCCTCAGACGCTTTCTTGGGCCGGGGTCGCTTGAGCAAACCTGGCTTTTAGGCAAACACAACGTGGCAGCATACCGCGAGAACTCTGCTTGAAGCGGGCTGCGGCGAGCCCCCGCAGTCGTAAATACTTGCAAACGGTAACTCCGCTTTAGGCGCTGCACGTCAAATCGTTCTCTTTTGGATGGTGTTGGTGCATTTGGCCTCGTTGGGCCGCAAGAACATGCAACATTCTGGACACTTCTTGGGGGCGCTTGTTACGCTCAAGGCTAGCTCTTGATAGCTAAGCCTGTTGGAAAGTAGGATAAAGTACTTACCTCAGGCTAGTCAAACCGGGTCTTACTGCGCCGCATCCATTTTTGCACTCGCAATTGCCATGGGCTGCGCGAGCCACGAACTTGTGTGCGCTTCAGCCAGGCGTTCAAGCGGGACAACAACAGTCCTGTGGACAAAAAGGGAAAACGGTCTCAGAGCCTCAAAGGGCGGAACAATTGCTCTTCGGGTTCTTTGCGGCCCAAGGGATGCAATTTTCCGGCCAAGTCTCAGGGAGGCTTGAAGCAAAGTGTTCACACAGGACCTTGGCGAGACAACTTGCTGGCCTGAAGAAGCACCGCTTGTACCCTGGCGACTTCACGAGTCGACGCTCACTCGCCCTTCAGCCTGCAAAGGAGAGCACGAGCGAGAGAGGGAGAGAGAGAGAGAGAGAGAACAAAAAACACATGCCGTAACTAAGCCAGTCTAAACTGACAAAAGACTGTCCTTCCAAGAACGTACCATCGACAAAAGGGCTCTTGAAAACACATTGTGGAAATAACCCTTTTCCACAACCAGACGCAAAAAACATGGCCTAAGCCAAATGCACTGGCGAACGGCGGTGCCGCCACGCAACACAGGTACGAGAATCTCTGCGGCTTCCGGTGGAACCGCATGACATGGTTTGTTGACCTCTGGCACAGGGTCCTCCAACCAGCATTGTTACATTCCACGCAGACAGGTGGAGGATCGTGTAAGTCAATATAAATACAGACTGGGGGACTGTGGCAGCGCACTTCTTGTGATTGAACGATAGATATCTTAAGCAACTTGTGTGCTTGCTTTGCTGAAGAGTGTTTGTATCTGCGATTTCTGAATCAGTCACCGGGTCTCTACTTTCGATTTTTGTAACATGCTGCTAGTTGCTGCTGCTCCTTCAAGCCAGAGTGGCTGGCTGCAATTATCTTAGCATGTCTATTTCTTGTTTAGCAGTAGGGTTGAATTGGAATTTGAAACGATTCCAGTATCTGGAACACTTATTTGTTGTTTCTGCTAATTCGCCTGCCCCTTAAAAATACTTGAGCCACCAGAAGCGCAAGGACAATGCGATTTCAGCTCTAATGGTTTACAAGCTTTAAATTGCCACGCTCTAAGTTTAAGTCATGTTTTGATTAGAAACCAATATAAAGTACTTCAAATGGTATTTTGAACTAACGTAGGGCTTCCGCAAGTAGGATGCCAATTGGGATTTACAAAGAAACTAATAAGGAAAACCGAGCTTGGTGTTTCTTCTGATTCTGAAGCCTCTCAAACGGAGTGAACCAACCAGTAAAACAATGGACAATTGCAAATTATAGTCTAATTGGCTTGCAAGTTTTATTGCAAGGCTGTAAGTTTAAATGGCTAGAATTCACTTCAAAATTGCAATTTTGATTTGGATATTAAATAGTACTTCCCTTCCAAGCAGGGTTTCCACTATAGCTTAATTAGAACTCTCATTCTTGTTCAAACGCTAAATCAGAATCTATATTTGCACACCGAATTCAATTAGAGTTTCAACAGCATTCATAGTTTGAACTAGATTTTAAACAGAATCATTCAGGGAGAGGGAAACAGCGAAAGAGCCTGATGAGCACACACCCCTTTTCCTCTTAGGGCAAGGTCCGAAGGGCTGTGCGTTGGTTGACCACTGCTCCCAGCCATGCTACTGGGAAGCAGTGGTCTCCAGCTGGGTCCCAGCTATCAGCCCCTGCCCCTTCTTTTCCTACCCACCCAACCCTGGGGTGAGTTGCCCTAGCGGCCTTCTCGTCTTTGGGGTGTGGCAGGCCAAGGCCCCTGAGGCTTCAGGGTTGTTGGCTGTAGGGCTGCCACTTGCAGCTGTGTCCCTTCTTCTATTTGGTGTCCTGCCCTCTTGTGACCTGGGGGCTGTGCTCAGTCAGGGAGGGAGTTAGATAGCTGTTTTGGCTCTTGAGCCAAAATGGCCCCCGTGCAAAGGTCCATTGTGGCAAGAGCCTGTTCCCTCCCTAAATGAACCCATGTCACCCAAAGCCTGCCAAGCACAAACATGGAACACATTCAGAAAAAGGGAAACAGCGAAAGCCTGAGCACACACCCCTTTTCCTCGTAGGGGAAGGTCCGAAGGGCTGTGCTTGAATGTTGGTGTCATTGGTTGACCACTGCTCCCAGCCACTACTGGGAAGTAGTGGTCTCCAGCTGGGTCCCCAGCTATCAGCCCCAACGCACTTGAAAGGCCGCCGGTTCAGCGATCCACCCCAATGCACTCCAAACTTAGAGACAGCTGAACACACGGATACGTGGTGAAGTTGCCCGTGGGGACGCCACACCATGAATAGGGGGGCAACATGGGCAAACACTCCCTGGCTTGCCTGTGCCACCCTTAAAGGGTGGATGCGGCTCGGCACCCCTCATCCAAAATACGCACCTCCCGGCGCTCGCACCATGGTGGGTCCTCCCAGACCCGCCGGCCACGGAGCCACCTGGCCTCCGTTCGTCGGCATCAAGGACTCCATCAAGGAAGGCCGGACGGACTCCCTCTGCGGTAAGCCCAACGGAACCACCACCCCAGCCACCGTCCACAGCGGGTGTACCCAGGGGAAGCGAAAGCCTCCGCGCCCCTGAGCGCAGCGCTGGCAGTGAACATCGGTGCACGGGGCCTCTAGGAGCGGGACACCGTGGACCACAGCTGGGACGGACTCATAGGGCACGTGCAACACCAGCACGACCTTGGGCACGTGCTCCATGGCAGACGCACGTGGCATCCCTGACATGGCCTCCAGAAACGACATGAGGTTCCTCGGCGCATCCACCTCCACCTTAGCCCAACCTGGAAAGCGAATGGCATGGCCTAGCATGACCAGGGAGGCTACAAATGAACCGAAAAAAAGAAGTTAGCTGTTTTGGCTCTTGAGCCAAAATGGCCCCCGTGCGAAGGTCCATTGTGGCAAGAGCCTGTTCCCTCCCTAAATGAACCCATGTCACCCAAAGCCTGCCAAGCACAAACATGGAACAGTCCTTCCAAGTCTAAATAGGAACTCCTTTTCAACACTTAGTTAGAATCTTGGTTGCTTTCTGCTCCCCTGCTAAAAGTTTAACTTTTAGTGGTTTAGTGGAAAACCCATTAGTTGGCAAAAAGTTAAAGTCCTAACAGCCAAGCAAAATGCACCAAAGGAATGTTAAAGTAATTTAACTAGAACCTCGTAAGGAATTACAAGCTGGACGTTTCTTCTGAGTGACTCAGCTACAATTGTTGAATCATATATATATATATATATAGAAATTCCAAGTCTCTAGAATGTTGATTAGATTTAAGTAACATGTAAATAGCATCTGCTTGGGATAGAAGCTGGTTGTGTCTTCTAGTTAGTTTGAATACACTTCTTACACTTAATTGGATGTTTAGGAGGAACTAGTTGGAGTTCGAATTGTGAAATGAAATTGAACAAGTAGAATCCAATTCGACATTAAGCAGAATCTAATGAGGAAAGAACAACACGCTGGCAATGTCTTCCAATTTGCCTAGACAACAAAAAAAACAAACCCGAGAACAAACGTAGACCCATCATAGGCACAGAACACCAAAGAACAACTCGAGAAAACCAAACACAAAAACAAAAACACCTCGAGGAAACCAAACAAAACAAACAAACCTCGAGAACACCAACAAAAACAAGAAAACAAGAAACACATGTTTCCAGAACCCTTTCAACATGTGCTGTGCACCAAAGAGTTTCTAAAGCATGGTTTTTGTTATTTTGGTGTTCTCTAGGTTTTTTCGATTCTGTTTTTGTTTGTTTCTAATTGTTGTTGGTGTTCCTCGAGTTTTTCTCTCGTTTTCTCAAGATGTTTCCTCTGTACGTGTTGGATCAAGTGCGACTGCTGACATGGCCGACTGAGAAGATTGCAAGGTCTGGTATTTCCCCCATTCTCAACCCAGGGATCCGAATCGTTCTAGAAACCCTCCAGAACCCCGGGGTCAACGGATCTGGCTTGCGAAAAGAACGATGGTTGAAAGTATGGGAAACAACCCTAGAAAAAGGAAACTCCAACAGCCATCTTTCTGCTTGTCCTTTACGGTTGCAACTCCTGAAACGCCAACTTTGGCCAGCATTCACGTCCATCAGGTGGTGGTTCTTGCCCAGGGTCTATCGCTTAGACTGCAATCTCAAACGCTAGACAAAAACCAGTTGACATCCAGTCTTCGGTGTTACACTCTGGAAGTGAGCGTTGTATATTGTACCATCTTCTTGCGGTTTGGAACTTGGCCATTTTGAGAAGGTCATGAGCTGCGGTCTCAAGCAACAACTTGTGTAGGTTCGCGCGCTTGCGAGATTGTTTTCACCAAACCTGCTTTCCTTCCTTTGCGACCGCGAACATTGCCTGTGTCTATCTCAGCTCCCCTTGGCACAGAATCCAGAAGAGGTTCACAGCGTTGTGACAAAGGGCTTCCTATTTCCCCTTGTAAACATCACCGCAAATGGAAACTGGGGTTAAGATTGGCACAAACGGCGATGTCTACAACTACCAAAATCAACATAGGCTTTCATTTGCCTAAGCTCCCTGGAACAAGTCATTGATTCCCTATAAAACCAACAAGGGAAAATATATAATATTCACTTTGGCAAGCGGAAGGCAGCAAATCTTTTTTAGCATGCGACACCACGTGCCGTGCGAATCGTGCCTGGCTGAGGTGAGAGCGTCGCTCACGGCTTTCTCCGCCACTGCCAGGGACCTGCGAGTCGGAAAAATCCCAAGCTGACTCCCAAATATTTGTTGGAACTCGTCATGCGGACGCCCTTCTAGATTTCGTGGTGGAAAAAGTTAGGTCAATAATCTTTTGGGACTCCCCGCTTGTCAAATGTGAGCACCGATGCACCCGTCCTTTCGGAACCCTAGCAGAAACCACGTGGGATGCTTCGACACATTACTATGGCTCAGGCTGCAGCTTGAAGAAAAACAACGCCGCAACACTTGCTGACTTCAAACCCAAGGGACAAAGGCTGAAACTGCAACTCTCCAAACGAAGTAGGAAATGTGGCAATGAACCCAGTCCACTTAAAGGAAATAGGATGGGATGGTTTCTAGGAGTCATTCCATTTCTCATTCCCTGCCTATCGCACCAAGCTGCGTTATAGGGGCCCAGGAACCGCTGGTCACGCGCGTGGCGCTCTCTCAAGCTGAGAGAAAAGTCTAAAGCCGTGTGAAGCAATCTGTTCTTGACTTCTGTCACTTATAAAATTGTCCTTGTTACTTATAAAATTTATGATTTTTTGATTTCTGTTACTTATAAGAACTGCCACCCTCTGCCAAGAGTTGCCAACTTCTTGTGTGGACAACCCGCAAGGTTTCAACCGGAACAAATAACCAACTACGATCCGTAACTGGCCATGAAGTAGGTGGCCTCTTGGAAAAATCGATGGGTTGCCCTGGTAACTGGAATAACCCCCAAAACCAGGAATCGCCCTCGATTTTGAATAACAAAAAACCAACCAAAGAGGACACCTACTGTGGATGGACGAAATCCTGCACCACCCAAGAAACCCTAGAATGATGATTTCCCTGTAAATACCAACAAACCATGGGTTCCCATGGTTTCAAAGTGGTGCGAAATGGATTTCGTCCAGCAGTATGCATGAATTGCTTTGTTCCAAACGCAGTCGTCAGGGCGAGCGCCATCGAGCGCCTGTCAAAGGTCCAGTAGGCTTCGCTGGCTGCGCGCCGCGAGGCGATGATGGAGGCAGGGACCCGGATCTGGCCGCACTTCTTGAACCACTCCTGCGCTTTCCCTAGGGGTACCCACTTTTTTTTTTCGCTGGTCTATGTCAGTAGGGGAACCCTCCCAACCAAAAACGGGTGAGAAAGGGCACCTAGCTGGGGGACCTAGCCATGGTCCAACCTCCTCTGGGCCTTGGCTCCCTCATGAACCATTTGTCATGGGAAGTCTAACACCAGGGATTGATGACCAGCCCTACGCCCCCAGAGCAAATGGGTGCTTTGATTCCCATCCGCACTCAAGTTGCCGGGGCAACGAGCAGATCATCGAGTTTCTGGTACTTCGGAATGACTTTCGCAGAGCGCAGGAGGAGCTTCTTGAAGTTTAAGAAACCGCCGGGTGCGAAAAAAAACCACATGGGCAATGCCAGCCAGTTTGCTTGGTGCGGGGAAAAAAGAAGGGGCCCTCTGAAACGAAAGCTATGCACCCCAGGACCCCAGTCCACGTAGCCGTTGAGCTCGTCATTGTTGTCGGTGTTCTTCCTCAGTCCGAATGGCTCGTCCCTGAAACTCTGAGAAGTAGCCCTCAAGAATGCCCTTCATTGGGCAACTTGCTTACTATCGCTGACAAACATAGAGCTTGCCTTCAATTCAAGGGTAGCCATTTTGAGCTACCTGGGGTACAGGTTGATGTTTCCGAACATGGTATCAAAGGGTCCTGTGTCCTGGTCGCAGTACGTGATGCCATCTGTGGCCCCATGCGTTGCCAGCCGTCTGGATAAAAGACAACGTTGCGCTTTTCAAACTCAATGCAAGCGTGCCAAGGGTCTTGTAGTACCCGCCTTCCTGATCCCAGTACGACTTCATGCCTTCGTCCCAGTACTGGCCATTCTCGTCGTAATAGCCGCCGCTGGACTCGTCCCAGTAGCCTTAATGGCCACCGAACTGAGCGCAGTCACCATCCGAAACCAGGTGCTCCGTTGGTCTTAGAGATGGTCCAACAAGGCAAATGAAGCTTGCCCAAGAAAACACCTTTGCTTGTCAGCCCGCGGATTTGGTGAGGTTGGCTGGCTTGACATGAGTTGGGTTGAAGTCAGCCGTTGCCACTAACTACCAAGGGGAATGTTAAACACAAAGTTTTGTTGCTGCCCTAGGACATGATCAACCACAGGAGCCACACTCTTTCCAAGAAGCATGGAAGCGGACAGTTGTTTCCCAAAACGGAACATCAAAACATAATACTGTCTTTCCACACCTTCCTCGACAAATCGCATGGCTGGCCAGGTGCTCCGCCGGGGATATAACCGCTGAACATAAACAAGGCTCCGCGTTGCACGTGAAGCACAGTTTCTGGGGCTTCCAGTAGAGAGGTTAGAATACAGGTACCCTTTTTCTATAGTCTATTTTAGTAGGGAAACACTCCCCAAAAAAAGGTAAAAGGGCAATACTGGGGACCTAGGAAGGTTTGACTGCCATGGAGATTCGCATCTGGGCCTCTCTGAGTGTGCATTACTTCGCAGGCGCCTCCGTACTCATCGTAGCAGCCAAACTCATCGCAGTGTTCTGAATGGCCTCGACATCAACAGCAAACAGATTCAGCCTTTGTGGACCCAGGCAAGAATAAGTCCAATAAGCAAACACAATTGAAAGTTCTAAATTTTGAACAAAGAATGCATCGTCAGTTGACTGTCAAACACGGCTAGGTGCAATAACCACAGCTGACTCTGGCATTCGAATGATTTGAGTCTTGCGGCAATTGCGCCGCCCTCTTGAACATGGGTGAAACATGCCAAAAGGGGGGGGAAGGGGGAGGGCCGGGCCGGGCATAACCCCGACTTTTCCACAGCGCTGCTCTATGGCAAGCTTCTAGGGCCATAGTGATGGCCGTGGTGGTCCAAGTGGTGCGGTTGAGGATTGGCGGCTTCGTCCAGGTGCAAGTCGCCGGCCAGTGACATGGAGGTCGCAACCTTTGCTCCTTGAGGCAGTTGAAGCCAGAAAACTGGTGGAAAGGGAACCGGAAAACCCAACTTGGGGAAAACGGGATGTGTTCTGAACAACTGGGTTGCCCATTTGGTCGGACAATCTTCACTGATGGTAAAACAACCGCTCAAGAACTTCAGTGACAGATTGCATGCCTCCACGTCAAGGCTAAAACCCGGTCCCAAAAACATGAAGGGCTGCAAGCTTGCGAGTAGCGCGTCTTCTTCAAGTCATGCTGCGCCACTCGACGCCAGCAATCAACTGTGGCACGCACGAGCCCGGCAAGTCTGCATCAAACAAAACGAGTAAGCGGCGTCCAGGCTGCCATGCCATAAATGACCAAATGACTCTCACAAAATCGCGTGTTCATTGTGGCTTACGCAGAATGCAACTGGACAACATCGATGCAACAAACGCCTTCTGTCGATGTCAACATTTCGCGCAGTGCACATGGGAGGGTCCGACCTGCACATGAGAGGGTCCGACCTGGCAGGCAATCAGCATCAAAAACCCCAAGCCAACTGCAAAATGCTAAACAACCCAATGCTTCCGGGCAAGCCATCATAGTAGGCAACCAGGGGAAGCCACGATGTAAAACTTAGAGGTACCCATACCTGGTTTCCTACAACTGTGGGAACTGGAAGCAGTGAGCAACATCCAAACGCCAGGATCTGCGGTCGGAACAGCCGTGGCATCAAATGACGCAGCCAGCATCAAGCAGTCATCGCGGCGCACCATCATCATCGCGCAGCAAAAAACACACGCTACGCTACTGTAGCCCCCCAAACAGAAGGAACAACAAGCAATCCCCGGTGTTCCACCAAATGTTCAGACGAACCCAGCCAGCACCAAAGCAAGCACAATCGCGCAGTGCCCCAGCCACCATGACGCTACAGCAGATACGCAAAGAGCCTGACCTCAAGCTGTTCAATCCCTTCCACCAGTTCTGTACATCCCGCAACTGGTCGTTCATGATTTGCTCAGAAATGCAAGTGGTCACCCTCGAGCTGTCAGTGAGTGATCGAGCCATTTTCAAGTCAGTGTTTCGGGATCCAAGTGCTTTAGAGGGGGAAACCAGGTCATGTTGTCGACGCTGCAGGTCTGGCCTGTGGAAATGGTCCGAGTTCTCAACACAGTGGGCTTTACTGCAGCTCAATGGCCGCAGATTACTTGGGGCATTTGAGCCATTCGAATTCACAATCCGACTTGCATCGCCGTGGCCGGCTCCGACCCCACGCCAAGGCTCCTCCAGAGTCCTGCGGCGGCTGCTCTGGGCATATGGTTGGTGCCGAACCCCCCAGCGAACAGCGCATGTCATCTCAACATTACTGTAGCTCGGATATTTTATCAAACTAAGATTATCACTTTTAACAGCCTGGGGTTCTCAATCCGAATTTAAGGCAGGTATCGGCTGGCTGTCTCAGATGAGACACGTTCAGGCACAAGGCTGCATTTCCCAGCAACTCCCAGGACCAAAAATGATGGGTGCAACTGACTGGAACCTGCAAGATAGCACACATCCTCATGTTTGTCGCACTCGGCTGCCTTATGCTAACTGCTGTATCCACCTTGAGGACTCAACAATAAGCAAAACACGTGTTGAAGCTCATAGCAACTGGAAGTTAAACATGCTCTGTGCTGCCCATGTATTTCCTTTGGTTGGGGCTTCTCCTGGCTTTCCCCCCAAGTTACTGACTCGTAGGTTGTCGGCGCCCTTATGCTTTCAGAAAACGCACGAGAGTTGGCTCATTTAGGGGCCAGTGGGTCCATGAAAGAGACATCCTCAAAAACTATTCGACCCTAAATGGTGGTGTCAAGGGACACCACCATACCACACTCAAAAAAACAATGCTATAACACCAATTCCTCGAACTGCAGCGACTTGGGGCTGCCAAACCGCCCCTCAGCGGCTGAAGTCCGGCCTTGCTCTCCAGCATTGCACTGGGCATCTCTTTGTGGATCTGCGACCGATCGGTGCCGGAAGCATCCATCCCACATCCATGGGAAAGGGAACGCAATACAAAACTTCTGGCGTCAACTCTTTAATTATGGATTGGCGATTGTGCCTTGGCCGCATGGGAGTGTCCAAAAACGGCCCAGCTCATCGCTTTGAAGGGCTGGCCGGCATCCAGCTCTATGCCAACCAAAGACTCAACGAAGGCCCAACATAGATGTCAAAATCCAGTGGCAACATGTGTGCGTCCAGGAATCAGTTGGGGTTCAATGACCCCGAAATCAATTCGTCCTCAACCCAAATTCACACTTTGCGCTCACTCAAACTGACCCACACTCCCTCTCAAGCATCCCAGTTCCCCCCCCAGCCCTAGCCTCCTCCATTTGCCTCTGCTGCAAGTCTCCGCCCTGCTGGTTGTAGTTGTTGATCGCTTGGTTCGTCTGGCGCGGGCGTGCGTGGCCGGGCATCTTGGACAGTTGAAGCATCAGCTCCATTGCCCTTTCAGCACCAAAACCCACCCCTGAAAGAGGTCCCTCTATTTGCAGAAGAATATCATTTAAAGGCCAACCCTGTTTTAAATCATGAGCCAAGATGGCATGCCAATGCACATATACACATATCTATATGCCTACATATGTAAACACATGAAGTACACACACACATTACATTACATTGTGCATTGCAACCGTACCTTTTTACATTTGAGTACATCACACATCATCAACATTATATTCATCACAACGTATGGCATTACAATCCATTACGCACACACACACACACCATGTTTGACATTGAGTTACATTGCGTTGCATGCTCATACCCAGCCATGCCATACCCCCTCGGGGGCCAGCCACATGAGTTTCAACAGGACATGACCCAAACTCTAAAACCTCGAAATCTGAAACCCCAAAGCCCCAAAACGCCCAAAAACCTCAAGCCCCAAATTACACCCACTCTATGGCCCCAAAAGCAATCCTGAAGTCCTAACCGCAGAAGAGACCGCTGTTCACGAGGCACGGAGGAATGTGTATATATATATATATGCATGTATATATATTTATATAGTTGTATACGGCACATGTACAAATATCTATGCACCTATGCATATACATATCCGCGTCGACATGCATACATGTGCAAATCTAAATGCTCCGCCCTTCCTATTCTCATGCCTGACACGGCCATTTTAACGAGGCCCAAACCGCCGTTCTGCCTAAGGATGCGCTCGGGCCTGCGCGTTCGTTTGGGCGTCCACCATGTCCTGGTGCTGGAGCTCCTGCGTAGAGTTGTTCGCAGGTTCGCGCGCCATGCGTGCTCCCTTCCGCCCGGATATCCCCAATTCCATGTACCTAGTCTTCCCCATCAAAGGGAAAAGGAACCATAAATGGAATTTTAGGGGTCGCCCCCCTCACCCAACTCCATGTTTGAGGGGGTGGGAACGCAGAAAATGATATGTCCGAGCCCGCTTCATAGCTAGTCCACTCAACGTGTAGAATTGGAGGGGACCGCCAACATCAAATCAGCTTTCCTCTAATTGGTGGTTTGGATTGGTGGTCTGGTGGCTAAGGAGGGGCTTCCCATATGCTCTCCACAAGAACCAGGGTTCACATCAAGCATACGGGAGCCACACCGAAAAAAAAAAAAAAAAAACATACATTTGATGAGTTCCTGGTGTCTGCCAGGGCAGTGCATGCGCGGTTCCCCCAAAGGCCGCAAAGCCATGAGCGATGCTTGTGCAAAGATGTCAGTTTTGTCTGCTACATGCAGCTGAGTTCAGGATTGGCAAATTGCATTCAATCTGTTTCGGACGATGTTCATCAGGCTCACCTTTGCACCATTTCATGATAACCCCTTTCTGACCACTGTGGATGGACGAAATCCATTTCGCAGCACCTAAGAAACGGAATGATGATTCCAATGCACGTACCAACAAACGTATACGGAAATCCCAGTAGTTGGCAAAAAGTTATTCTGTCCTAACATCCCTTGGCAAAATGCACAAAAGAAGCTGTGCTGGGTGGAGCATCCGCGTTCAACAATCCTCACGGGGAACGCTTTGAGAAATGCCCGATGTCACCGGTGGCTCCTGCTCCATGGCATAGGAGTCCACCTCAGTGGGGCGACGAAAGCAACTCTCACAGGTCTCAAGATGTATATGGCTGCGGTTGTCAAAACCGTTTTGGGATCCCATTTTGGTTGGCAGGTAAATTCACCACCCACTTTAGTCTAGTTTAGTGGGGATTGGGATGTTCACTGGGGGTAGGGGATTTTGACCCATGGCCAAATATGAGAGTGGGTCCAAAATAGGCACCTAAAATGAATCCCTGGAGGTTCCTTGTTGGTGAACGTGTGCAATTGCGTCTCGACATCTTTTTTTGCGAATCTCCAAACTCTCAAGTTGTTTGGTGCCTTTTCTGTCGGGACCGGGAGCCCCTTGTGATGAGCGGAATGGAACCTGGAAAAAAGTGATCGGAAGGGGTCAGCGAACCTTGTTTGCTGTTGACCCCTCTCCAAAAAGTGGGTTGAAGCGCAAACATCCGATACCAAACAGCCATAGCCCTTTTGCATAGCAACCAATAGGACATTCTACAGGACATTGTTGCCCAAGACCCACCAACAGCACCACAAACCAGGGACTTCCATAAAGTTTACCCATCCCTTTCATGTATTGACTGAAGAATCTCTCGAGCTTCATGCAGGCAGCCCATATTTTTCGCGCCGTCGTCCAAGGTTCAGGTCATCGAATCACCACAGCTCTAGTGTTCGCACTCAATCAGGGCTCCCAAGATATTTCCACGCAAAGGAGCCGCCTCTAGGTCCTCCAGTAGAGAGGTTAGAATGAGCTGGTACCCGATTTTTCTGTAGTCTGTTTCAGTAGAGGAACCCTCCCCCCAAAAAGTTGGTACAAGAGCACCTAGCTGGGGGACCTACGCCTTTACATTGGGCTTAGGTTGCAACCACCATTCTTCTGGGGAAAATAGACGGGAAATTCTGCGAATGGGTCCAAACGCGCCAACAGTGCCAGGCCTTGCCCTGCATGTGGCCCATGTTCTGCGACCTCAGACGCGCAATCGATCGCATGCGATCCATCGCATCGTGAGCTGACAACCAACAAGCTCAAAGCGAGGTGGCGAGCTCGTTCTTTGGCCCCTGCCGGTGGTTTTCATGTACTTTGTCTTTGGTGCTGGTGTTGTTCCTTTGTGGGATTGATAAATTGTGCGGTGTGCGGGGAAGAATGCAAACGGAAAGACAGGTGCTAGAATCCTGCAAAACCCCAGATGTTACTCTTTAGACAGCCATTCACTTTCGAATGTGGCTTTGAATCTACGTTGATTGACAAGGTGCATGCACTGAACATAACCGAATAATTCTACTTGCAACCATCTGTGTCCGGTTGAAAATTTGAAATTTGACTCCCCTGTCAAACTACGTCGGCCTTGGCACGTGCCACCTTCTGCAATTCATGCTGAGCTGCCCGATCCGACAACCAAGAATGCAAAACAGCTGCGCATGCTCGTCACAAGTGGGCCGACTGAAAACACAGGGAAACTTGTGCACACGCTCATGCACTACGCTTGGAGGAGGAAGATGTGCTCATGGGTCTAGAGCCCATCCTTGGAGAAGCCCTAGAGGAGGCCTTACAGATTTCCTCCAGATTTCCTTCATCTACAGGTCTGTGGCTCATGATGGGGGCTGACTCCTTCTTGCGACCCTGGTGTCATTTTGGGTTTTGGGCGCAAGGGTTCCTATTTCGCCCACATCCCAAACATGTGAAGCCAGGGGGCACTTCATCCTGTTTGTCGAGCTCCAGCCGATCTTCGTTCGCCTTTGCCGCTTTCCGGGCCCGGTCCGTCTCTTCCTTGATTGCCTGGCGATGTGCACGTGCAACTGAGTTGCTATGATCAGTGGGGCTGACGCAGCTCTCCCACAAAATGCAAAAACCTGTGGGAGGATACCTGGAGGATGAGGTTCTTTTTGAAGGGACCCCAGGTGCACGGCAATGTCGGGAGGCCAGTTATTGCGGCCTCAGCTCCCGCTCGTGCTATTGCTGAGTCTAGCGGCCTGCTGTGTTGCCCTTGCTTGACGGTTTAAAGGGAGACCAAACAAACTCCACATTTTTTTTGGGGGGGTCCCCTACAAAAGACACAGACCCCGGTGTATAATATGTATATATATATATACACATCCCTGAGGGTAGCGATTCGGGTGTGGAAACCATCTTGGGCCCTTTCCTTTTGGCCCAAGTTTCAAGAACGCTTCATTCGAGCGACTTGGGCGTGGGAACCCCCCCTTCAAGTCAACAGTCACCCAACACAAAGAACTCACGGAACTTGGTCCGGACCCGAAAAAAATGTCTTCAAATCCCAGGCGACGTTCAGGGATGTTTCTGCCGCTTGGCTTCACGCCACTCGGTTAAACATTTAACACGGACCCCCCCCAAGAGAAATCTCCGCCTTGGGGCAGGTGCCCCTTTGGGTTTCATGGCTATTTGCAGGGAGGCGGGGCACACAATAATTGGCCACACATGCGACATACATTACTCACACGAAGCGAAACCACATGCGCCAGCACCACAAACAACAAGCCTCGACGTCGTTGTTGACCTCCTCTGCATCGCGCTCATCTTCGGCAATCTTGCATTCCTTCATGATCTTCCTCAGTCCAAATTTATGCCATGGATGCTAAGGGATGCCCATTCATGCCTATGCCGGCGCTTGTGTCAAAATTGGAACACTCTCAAAATGCGGACATTGGGATGTGTGAGACTGAACGAAAAGGGACCCTGTTGGGCCAACTGGGCCCTGGGTACACCGACCTTTTGAAGGATTTCCTGGTAATCCAAAGATGTGCCAGTTCACAAGTCGGCGCTCGTGTTTGTGAAGCGCACTGGGCGGTGTGCATGCCTATCCCATCCATGGATACCATGGGATACAATGCTCGGATGCACCGTATACATATTTTTGAGGAACCCGAATGCCCACTGACAAGTTTCATCGGTTGGAAGCCGTTGCCTTCAAGGTTGAGGGACAGCGGGATTCCGGCTTGGCAAGGCTGGGGCTACGCCTCACTCACGGCGTTTGTAGTACACCATTACTTGGGACACTACCTATCTGGTGTGATTTCTATACAAACCATTGTTGTCATAGGTGTCCTTTAGGGGAAATAGATGGCCCTGGTAGATGATTAAACCACCAGACCAGGTGAACCAGGGCCATCTATTTTCGACCAAAACAACCAACAAGGACACCTATGATTGTTGCATTTCAGCATTTTGGGTCATGGTTTCACGGAATATGAGACGCCTAAGAACTTCAGCGTCTCATCTGTGGAACTCAGGTATCGGAGTTGCCCCCGTAAGCCATCGAAATATCGCGGATGTTTTGGATGGCACATTTGGAGCTCCCGGGTCCATCCCCAATGAACGTCATTCTTCTGGTACCCCTAGGTGCCACCCGTAGATGGTTTGTCCTGGTTGCCTATGGCAAAACGCGTGGACACACTGGGGACGAGCAAGGGGGACTCCACCCCCCCCTTCCCCTTTGAGGGATGGCCGTGAGCACAGAGGTTTGGACAGCATTCTAGGGCTTGATTCCTGTGTCCACTCTTTTCAACCATCGTTCTTTCCGAAAAACCGGATCTGTTTTCCGCGAAACGCCCCTCGGAACTGGCGAAACGCCCAAGGCACTTGAACTTTGGCAGCTCTCTGCCCAGCTCTTGTCGCTTTCCTCGGATCGGCAGAAATATCATTCCGCACGCATGAGGCTACCCTTCTTTCTTGAAAAACAAAGCAGGAATCGCGCTTCTTGCGGGCCCCAGGTTTTTCCAAGGGTTTTCGCAAGGCAGCTACCTGTATCAGTGGTGACCCCAAAATCTCGCATGGCCTTGGGGCTGCTATCTGGAGCTCCCAATGGCGCGAGAGTCGTCTTTTCGCGGCTTTCCGCGGGGGCTTTTCGTCGTCGCGACGCCCGGGTGGCTGCATCCCCAAGACGGGTGTACTTGACCGCTCGGCAAGGTGTGGTCTTGCATCTTCGTAGCCCACGCGCGCCGTGCGTCCGGGGAAGCTTCTGCGGGCTTGTAGCCTCTAAGAGAATGTGCGAAAGTCTGGGAACATAGCGACTCCTTGCGGGAGTCAAATTCAACTCTGCCGACTTCCAGATCCCATGAGATGTAACCCCACGCGCAGGGTCCAACAGCTCTATGTAACCAAAACACATTGCCATATTGGGAGGTCTGTCTTGGTTTCCTTTTAATCCCAACCAAACAAAGCGACTCCGCATGGAGACGGACGGAAGTAGAAGCTACAAGCTCAGCTGCAACCAAACCCGACATTTTTCGCTTTGGGGGTTTCCCTTTTTCCCTGGGTATGTGTCAACGTCAGGATTTGGACCCCTAAAATGGTTGGTCTTTTTTTGGGCTTCCACGTGAACACCAAGCACTCTTCAAATATGTGTGTGGTATCCATTTTTGTAGTAACACATCAAACAATGGAAGTGCGCCTTGACCCTCATGTCTATGAATTTCAATAATTGGAACCACCTCATACGTGGTTGGTAGACATGAACCCCCACCGAATTCTGATGTCCACCAATGGGTCCCCAAACTAAACCATCATACCCAGCTAGTTCATTTGCTTTTCCACCCACTTTGAAATTGCAACACAACACCTCAAAAAGGGCCATGCTTTCGAGGTTCTTTGCCCAACATCAAACAATGGGAAGTGCACCTCTCTCATTTTCACTTCCTGAGTGGATTGGCCAAAAACTATTTGAACTTTTTGGTTTACTATGTTTACCCCTAAAATGGTTCAAACCCAGACAGTCTACAGTCCAGCAACGCAGGGGGTGACTTGTTCCTTGAGTTGCACAAACAGCTGGAAAAAAGGTTCACCTTTTGGGAGCTTGACAAAAAACCTGAACTAACATGGAACACCCAAAAGGTCAGATCTGGCCGATTCGCTTTGGACTACAGCTCCTTGCAAACAGGCCGCTAGGCTGAAAAAGCCCTGACTCAAACCCCATAGATCCACAAAGAAATAACAAGAACCTCGGATTTATAAACCCCTGGTTGACAAAGGCTTGGCGGGCATTCACTTATGGATGGGAGCAGGGTCCCCTTTTTCCAGAGGTTATTCACTGGGTTTCCCCTTCGAAAGTTACATCTCCATTTTGCTCCTTTGCTCGTTGGTTTGGCCATGTCCCGCTCCTTTACGATCCGTCCCTCAATCCCAGCCAGGGCTTGGTGCCATAGGGAATGACCGAGTGCGGGTGTTGGGAATGTACCCGTTTTGGGGCTTCCCTTAAAGGAAACCGTAGGATGGATGGCTCATCTCGGGGTCATTCCATTTCTCGTTCTCTGAGGACCAGCAAGAAGAGGGCCAGCTAGGGGGGAAGTGGGTTACATGCGGAAACCCGACCACGAAACCAACCACAAACAGCCAAGACCCGCAAGGAACCCGACCCCTGGAACCGCCCGGCCCAACGGGATGTCCCCCAAAAAGTTGCCCATTTTACTGGTGGTTCCATTGAAACAATCTATCAGAAGGTTCCAACAAGGGAAATGGCTCGGAACCCCAAGCTGGGGATGGTTTGGGGTCGTTCCCGCATTCCAACGCTGACCAGCAGGGCCGGCTCAGGGGATGGCTGAAATCCGGCCACCCAACCACTAATTAGGTGCAGCAACGTCAGCAACCAAAACCCACTAAGCACCACTCAACAAAACGGACGATTCGAAACCAACGAAAACCCACGAAAAACCTCCAAAATCAAACGGAGGATTGGCTTCCGAACCGCCGGGGGGGCCCTCGATGGCTGTCGACTCGCTGCTTCTCATTGCTTCGATTCGAGGCGCGCACCCAGCGCTCGAAGTCCCTGCCCGCGAGGTCCACCGCCGCCGCGGCTTTGCGGAGCCCGGGGGCCAGGCGGTGCTCGGGCCGTGCCCGGCGCTGGAGCATCACCTCAGCTCCAAATGGGCTGCAGATCTTACAGTAGTCCTTGGTCCCCGTAGGGCAAGCCAGGTGGGGGTATCCTATTTTTGACGCTGCAAATCAAATACGTGTCTTGATGATTGCTCCTGTGAACCAAACGACTGTTGGTTGAGAAAACAGTTTTGTGTTGTTCTGGAAGGGAACCCAACAGGAAAACCATCATTATCTTTGCCGTTTTGTTGGGGGGGGTCCCGAAAAAGAGACACACCCGCATTAAATGAGTCTGTCGCTAAGGTTGGTGGGTGTAGGTTGGTTACAAGAGAAACCAATTGGGCTGCCTTATATTTCAACCACATGGAAACAAGTTACTCATGGTAATTGTTTGGGGCCCGGAATATTGACCAACCCCACATACCCAAATGAATCATGGAACCCAAGAAGGGCTTCCCACCTTCCTTTCAACATGCTTGAGTTCCACGTCAATCTGTAGAGTACCCATCTTGGAGGAAAACTCGAAGGGGGGTGAGGGGATGATGGGACCACCCTGAATCCTAAGGAACAAAGACATCACCAAGGCCTGGGCTGGTTGATTGCCAAAACTTCTGAACCGGCGACTGAACGCCACCCATTTGCCAAGATGCGAGTGAGGCATGCTGCAGATCTTCTGGCTTGGCATCTGACAAGGGGTCCTCAGCAAGGCTAACCCTGGCAAGTTGCAGCGCACCGCCCCAGACATGGGCGTGTGACCTTTTTGAGACTTGGTACGCTTCTTATGGTTGGTTTCAAAGAGAGACCAAAAGGAAAACCACCATTATGCGTGGTCCCTAAAAAAGACGTGCCCAAATATGGCAGGCGACGGCTTCCGAGCAACCGCTTCCTTCTGTAAAGCCAAGAGCTGAATAAGCCCTGAGGGCCACCCCTTCTCGGGCACGGCCCTTGGGCCCTATCCTTCGGAAGGCGACCCTGCTTTCGTGGCCATGTCTGGACCCCCCACAAATTTTGGACCGGGCAACACCTTCAGTTGCCAACTGAAACCATTACACAGGAATTCTGCTGTTTGCTTTTTCGTCCAGGGCAACCGCGCAGTAGCCTTTCAAACCAAAGGGGGATAAAAAACATGTTCTGAATGCAAATGGACGAATTCTTCACTGGAGCAGGAGTGTTCCCTCGAAAAGTGAGAGGCATCCCATGAGACACCGAGACCGCCTCTCATCTGCCACATGCAACCAAATTTCAAAAACCCAAACAGCCACTAAACCCAAACAAATGCGGAAACTGTTGCAATAACCCACGGATTTGTCCTTGGCAATCCCCATATCGGGTGCCAACAAACACTCATGGGACACCTGATCCTGGGTTCCCACCGGGTCAACTGGAGAAATCTCCTCATAGGTGTCCTTTTAGGGGAAACAGATGGGTTTCGGTAGATGATCGCCATGCTATTTTTCGAGAACAACAGAAAAAAAAAAACCTATGCTCCTCACGCCCAGCGGCCCACACTGGGCATTTTGCCATGCACTTGTCCAGTTCCTCGTCCTCCAGCATTTGCCTCGCCAGCAACAAATCCTCTGGGTGATTTGGTGAGGCTGGTTCAAGGGGACAACACAAGAAAAATCATTGTTTTGGGCCCCCCAAAGTTTGACACATACCCTCTTGGAAGAATAGAGAATAGGGTTGGTTCCGCAGCACCCCTTTCAAATTCCAACAAATAACTGGGCTTCCCCCTTCCCCCACATGCAGTTCTTGGGGCATCCTTTGTTGAAAGCACCAGAAATATCTACCATTGAAATGAGGTGCAAGCTGAAACATGGCACGCATAGACAATGCTTCGCTCACCAAAATGAACCCAGGCAGCAGCAAAGGAGTAGTCTAACGTTGGCTAGCAGCTTTGAGTGAACCAGTTCAAGCAGCACTGTGAGAACTCTCTGCGACTGGGGAAATGCTCAATTCCACTGTGGAGCGGTGAGTTTTGCACCTTGAAACTCGAATAAATGTTTGACTTGCCAAGATGCTCTTCGGCAATCTTTTCCTCCTCGCCTGCGCGATGCTGACGCACCCAGAAAAGAAGCTGGACCCTGAGCTGAATGTCCATACTGACATGGCTTCTCGCTGCCGCAAGAAACAGTACCTCATATTCTCTCCGTCTGGACACGGAGACGCACACATACAGCCACACACACAGTGAAGCGACACACACACACACACACACAGACACACACACACACACAAACACACAAACGCACACAGACAAAAACACAGACACAGACACACACAGACACGCACACACACACACAGACACACACACACACACAGAGCCACATAGACACAGAGACACCACAGAGAGAGAGACACACAGAGAGACACACGGAGAGACACACGGAGAGACACACAAAGAGACACACGGAGAGACACACACACACACAAACAGACGCAGACACACATGCAGACACAACAGACACACACACACACACACATACAGAGACACACAGACACACAGGGACACACACACACAGACACAAAAACATAGACACGCACACACACACAGACACACACACACAGAGAGAGAGAGACACGGAGAGACACGGAGAGAGACACAGAGAGAGTCACAAAGAGAGACACAAAGAGAGACACAGAGAGAGACACAGAGAGAGACACAGAGAGACACAAAGAGAGACACAGAGCGAGACACAGAGAGAGACACAGAGAAAGACACAGAGAGAGAGACACGGAGAGAAACACTGAGAGAGACACGGAGAGAGACACAAAGAGAGACACAGAGAGAGACACAAAGAAAGACACAGAGAGAGACACAAAGAGACACCAGAGAGAGACACAGAGAGACACAGAGAGACACACAGAGAGACACACGGAGAGACACACAGAGAGGCACAAGAAAGAGACAGAGAGGGACACACAGAGAGACAACAAGAAAGAGACACACAAAGAGACACAGAGAGGGAGAGAGAAACACAGAGAGAGACACAAAGAGACACACAGAGAGACAAATAGAGAGACACACAGAGGGACACACACACAGAGACACGAGAAAGACACACAGAGAGACACACATGGACACACACACACACATACACACACGCAAATACACACACACACACACACACGCAAACACACACGCGCAAACACACACACACACACACACACACACAGACACACAGCCACACACACACACACACACGCAAACACACACGCGCAAATACACACACGCAAATACACACACGCAAACACAGACAGACACACACACAGACACATACAGACACACACACACAAACACACACACAGACACACATACAGGCACAGACACACACACACACACACACTCACAGACACACACACACACACACAGAGACACAAAGACACACAGAGACACACACACACAAGGAGAGACACACAAACACACACACACAGACACAGAGAGACACAGAGAGACACAGAGAAAGACACAGAGAGAGACACAGAGAGAGACACCGAGAGAGACACAGAGAGAGACACAGAGAGAGAGAGAGAGAGACACAGAGAGAGACACAGAGAGAGACACAGAGAGAGACACACAAAGAGACACACAAAGAGACACAGAGAGAGACACAGAGAGAGACACAGAGAGAGAGAGAGAGACATAGAGAGACACACAGAGAGAGACACAGAGCGAGACACAGAGAAAGACACGGAGAAAGACACAGAGAAAGACACAGAGAGAGACACACAGAGAAAGACACAGAGAAAGACACAGAGAGAGACACAGAGACAGACACAATGAGACACAGAGAGAAACACAGAGAGGGACACAGAAAGAGAGACACAGAGAGAGACACACAAAGAGACACAGAGAGAGACACAGAGAGAGACACAGAGAAAGACACGGAGAAAGACACAGAGAAAGAGACACACAGAGAGAGACACACAAAGAGCCACAGCGAGAGACACACAGAGAGAGACACACAAAGAGACGAGACACACAGAGAGACACACAGAGAGACACAAAAAACAGACACAGAGAGAGACACACAGAGAGACATACAAAGAGACCAGAGGGACACAGAGAGAGAGAGAGAGACACAGAGAGAGACACAAAGAGACACACACACACTCAGAGCTACACACACCTGGACACACACACAGAAACACACATAGACACACCGACACACACACAGACACACAAAGACAAACACACAAACACACACACACACACAGTTACACAAAGACACACACACACACAAACAAACACACCCACACACACACACGAACACAAACAACCATATACAAACACTCACACACACACACAAGGAGACACACACACACAGACAGACACACAGACACAAACACAAACACAAACACACACACACACACACACCCACACGCACGCGCACACGCACACGCACACGCACACGCACACACCCACACCCACACCCACACACACACACACACACACCCACACCCACACCCACACACGCACACGCGCGCACACGGACACGCGCTCGCAGCACGCACGCACACGCGCACGCACGCGAGTATGCACGCACGCGAGCACGCACGCACGCAAACACGTGCACACACACACACACACACCCACGCACGCACACACACACACATGCACACACCCACTCACTCACTCACTCACTCACTCACTCACTCACTCACACACACACACTCACGCACTCAAACACACACACACACACACACACACTCGCGCGCGCGCAAACACGCGCAAACAAACAAACACTCACAGAACAAGCAAACACACAAACAAACATGCATGCAAGCTAGCAATCAGGCAAGCGACAAAAAACAAAGGAAGTAAGCAAACCAACCAACCAACTTGAATCAACAAACATTAGCAAAACAAGAAACAAAGACAAAACGCAACAAAGCAAAACAAACGAATATCAAGCAAACAAACAAACAAACAAACAAGCAAGCAAAGGAACAAACAAGCATGCAAACAAACCAAACAAACAAACTAAGCGACAGCCGTAGGCACCGGTACATTTTCACACACACCCTCACACACACAGACACAGCCTCACACACACAGACACACAGACACACAGACACACAGACACACAGACACACAGACACACAGACACACAGACACACGGACACACAGACACACAGACACACAGACACACAGACGCACAGACGCACAGACGCACAGACGCACAGACGCACAGACGCACAGACGCACAGACGCACAGACGCACAGACGCACAGACGCACAGACGCACAGACGCACAGACGCACAGACGCACGCACAGACGCACAGACGCACAGACGCACAGACGCACAGACGCACAGACGCACAGACGCACAGACGCACAGACGCACAGACGCACAGACGCACAGGCGCGCAGGCGCGCAGACGCGCAGACGCGCAGACGCGCAGAGACAAAGAGACACAGAGACACAGAGACACAGAGACACAGAGACACACACACACACGCACACGCACGCGCACGCACAAGCACAAGCATGCACCCACGCACACGCGCACGCAGTGACACATGAACGCCAGTGCGCACAATGCACGCACAGGCGCAGGCGGCGAAGGCGCAAAAACAGGTACAAACAAACAAACACCCACACACACACACACACCCGCACGCTGGCACGGAGAAAAGCTCACACACACAGTCAAACACACAAACTCAAACTAAAACGAACAAAACACAAGTAAATAACCAACCGACCAACCGACCAACCGACCAACCGACCAACCGACCCACCAAACGAAACCAACCACACACACGCACGCACACACGCACACACACAGACACATACACACAAACACACGCACACCCACACAGACCCACCCACCCACCCATGCACGCACACACGCAGGCACGCACGCACACGCACACAGTCGAACATGCACACACACGAACAGGCACACACACACACACGAACACGCACACGCGCACACGCACCCGCGCACCCGCGCACCCGCACCCGCGGACAAGCACGCGACCACACAACAAACACAAATTCAATCACACATACACACAACACAACACAACACAACAAAACGCAACGCAACGCAACGCAACGCAACGCAACACAAACACACACACACACAAACACAAACACAAACACAAACACAAACACATACACAAACACAAACACAAACACAAACACACACACACACACACAACACACACAACACACGCACACGCACAAGCACAAGCACGCACCCACGCACATACGCACAACACATACAACACATACAACACACACACACACTACGCTTGCACAAGCACGCAAACGGACGCTTGCGCGCGCACACGTGGTTGCTTTCTGTCTACTTCATCTGTCTCCTTCCTTCCCAGACGCGCAGAGACAACGAAAGAGTAGACGACGAGAAACGCAAAACCAGTGCACACAAACAAAATGGACAAACAAGCTCACGCAACCACGCTTTAAAAACAAAGGCCAAGCCAAGCCAAGCCAAGCCAAGCCAAGCCCAGCAACGCGCCCCACACAAAAACAACAACAAACATGAATACCAAGAACTTCTTGAAGAACAATTTCCCAACATTTCCCTCAAAAAGCAAAAATAACGCGAATTGTTGGAAACACGCATTTCCCCCCAAAACACGAATTTTGGTTCGACTCTCCATGGTTGCTTGCCAGCTACTACTTGGCCCTCATCAATTCTATGGTCAATTCCAAGCCTACGAACTGTAGACTCTTTCAACCTGTGGACAGGCATCAAAACTACCACATTGAGTACCATTCCTCACCAGCTGTTCATGAGAGCCACGTAGCAGGACTCGTGTCCAGTTCGCAGCTTGTTCAAGCGACACAGGCAAGTTTTGACAATGTTTATTTGGCCTTTCCGCCGATTTCTGTGTATTTTCCGCGTATTTCTCGCCGATGTCCGCGTATTTCCCGCCGATGTCCGCGTATTTCCCGCCGATTCCCGCGTATTTTGGGTGGCCAAATTTGTGGGGTGTTGGCACCAATCCACCGATTGCAACAATTGGGGGCAAATTTCCTAGCTGAACCTCACCTTGTTTGGGGTTGTGGCGCATCCCTGCGCCATGTCATGGCAACCCTCACGTCCCACTCCGATTTTGGAAGATGCCCGCATGAAAGCCCTTCGAGAAACGCTAGTCGATGTATGAGATCAGGCTAAATCAGCAGAAATCGCCCCGAAACATGCGATTGGCAGTTTCCGCCTAGATTTCGGAAATTCCGCTCGTTTGGCAAAATAAGCAAAAACACGCAATAAGCAAACATTTGTTCCTTTTGAGGGTCCAGATATATACAGAGACAACACTCATCCAACAAAACCTAACAATAATATAAAAACACACGCCCACACACAATGAGCAAAGTAAAACCACATTACCTCAAGGCACACATTCAGGCAGCAACTTCCACCTACAGAATTGGTGAAAGCTTGAACCAGGCAATTGCCTTGTGGCTCGGGAGGATAGCCATCAGGCGGCGGCCCGTAAGGGTCATAGGGATCACCTGGTGGCGCGTTGCGCAGGACAAATGGGCTGTGTGAGGCACGCGTCTCGAGGTTGGGACTAAATGGTTGCGTTTCATCAACTTGGATGCTTTACCTTAGCTGAAGCAGTGCCTCAGTTTCACCAGCAGACATGGAAAACGCGCAGGAAATACGAGACCCGTCAGAAGGGCTCCATGTAGCTTATACGGTCCGCAGAATTGTCCGCATAGTTTTGAACACAGAGCTGTGTCAATACCGGGGTCTGGCCTCATTCTGCCCTATTGGCGTTCTGCAAGCTGTCGAGAGCTGTTTGTGCCTAGGTATGTGGCGCAAAGTGAGGGGCTTATATGGTTGCTTCCCGTGATTCAACACCACTCCCATGCAGCGGGTCCCTCTTGTTCCATCACATTTGAACGTTGAACGCATCAGCTGGTCCAGCCTCCATAGCCGTGAGAATCATAGCCGTCGCCATATCCTCCACCATAAGGGTCGCCGTAGCCGCCGCCGGAGCCGCTGTCGTAGCCGCCACCGTAGCTCTCGCCATAGCCACCGCCGCCATAGCCACCGCCGCCATAGCTGCTATCATAGCCACCGCCATAGCCGCTGCCACCGCTGCCATAGCCGCCGCCGTAGCCACCGCTGTAGCTCGTAGGATGGCTATCAGGGCCTGCGCCTAGCAAATTGCAGCTTGGTGATTCCAACATTTAGTCCAGAGAAGGGGGCGCAGCACTCATAAACTCTCGAAAGCATGCCAGATTCGATCTGCACGTGAGACTGCTGCTGGGCCCGAAAGCATTTCACATCCCCCTCTTGAAGGTAAAGAGCAAGCAGGAAAAGCCACGCTGGATGCGCAAGGGACACAAGAACTGGACTTGCAGAAGCCCCTTCGCCACCCCCCGGGCGGCCTGACGCGACCAGGCCCACACCTGCGTAAGAGTGCAACGCCGGCTGGCCACGAAGCAAACATGTCAGGCTATTGACTGGCCAGTCAAAACCGGGGGTCTGCGCGAGAATTGAAACAAACCGCAACTCCGCATGATCCCCTTTGGTGTGGGAAACTAAAAATGCAGGTCAGCTGACTCTCGGCAGCATCCCGGGCTGTTGGGAACACTTTGATTTCCGGAAAGCGTCTGGAGGAGCCGCCTGCTTTTGGATGCGTCAAATGAGCATCTTCGAAATCTGCCGAACAAAGCAAACTGGTCTTGGTGGGTGTGTGTGTGAAAACAAGCGGCTCTCTGTTTTCAGTTGGCCACCACGAGAAACACTCCAACACGACGTGGGAAACCCCTTTTGATTTTAGGAAATCAGAGATTGCGGGCTATTTGCCCCAAAAAAGACCTGCAGGGAAGTGGGGCCGGAAGAAAACATCTTCCGCGGCCGGGGCGCCGTGGTGCGGCGTCTTCGGGCGACGCAGGGAGGCGCCATAGGGCCCCATGAGGCCAAAGCGCTTGCTCATGGCCTTGAGGGTTCCTCACGCGAACCCCCGAGCTGATTTGCAAAACAGCGTCTGTTGCGCAGTGCGAAAGGATCAAAGGGCATGAGACCTAAGGGCCTGCGCGCAGGGCCAATTTGGACCCTTCCCAAATCAAGTGCCTTTGATTGAGGCAGATGGTCCGATTCAAGCGTTTTCAGGCTTCCATCCAACTCCACACAATCTCCTTTTCAAGGGACCCCCTGTCAGGCTCCACGTTCATTGGGAGGGTAATTTCCAAGACTTCCTCACGCCAGTGGCACATCCCGGATCCGCGTCCGGGTCCCAGTCCTGACTTCCATGGCACCGTTGGCTTTGCGCCGAAACCAAATCCTCTGGTCTCCACCTGCGCACGAAAGATTCCCGGCCCGCCCTTGTCTCAAAACCGAATTTCTCCCAGGTCCCAGAGGTCACTGGATGTGGTTTCCAATGTCCACAAAAAAAAACAACTGCCACTTTTGGAGGTTTCAAGCAGGGAAATGGAGGAACCCGTCTCATGCGACAGGCCGAGGAAGCAATCGACTCGACTTTGGACCAACTGCTCCTTCCGCTGATCTAGCTCCAAAAACCGTGAAAACCGTGCCAGCAAGGCCATGAGATGCTGATTGAACTCACCCCCTACTCCAAGTACCATCTTTTTTCAGGCATGATGTTGACTTTCTACTAAAAAAGGAAGTATTTACTATGGAAACCCAGGCTTTTTTTTCAAAAAATACCTTAAAACAAGTGGGCGTTTCGAGTAGGGGGCACTTCAGCAGAATGAATCAGGTCCAAAGCCTCCGAAAGAATTCAATTTTTGAACCCACGAGTTGCTCATTCGCCCACGTAATTCGCCACGCGTGAATGTCAAAATTGCGGTTGTTCCACTTGGAGGCAAAGCAATATGACAGATGGCTGTGGCTCCAAAAACCGGAATTCCAAAATGGCTTGCCCGATCGGTAAGTGGAAACATGAGTACCAAAACCTGCGGTTTGCCCCTCCAGTTTGATTTTGAGCCACAGCCAAATGTCTTTTCAAGAAGTGAGTGCACACGTACTTGGTTGACGTTGGAAGGGGAGCAACAAAAATAAACATTAGCAGTTAAGTGGGGATTTCTTATTCAACCACAACAAGCAACAATGTAAAATATTTCCCAACGACAACCATGCCTACGTGCATTTTGTTCGAACCTTCACAGGTCTTATGCAACGACTCGCGGCATCTCTGCATGATAACTTACGGCATGCACTGGGGGTCGCTTTTTGACCCCTGTGAACAGGCGCGCAATCCAAATGAGCGCTTCCAACAAAAAAGACCAGTGAAATTGGGATTCCTTTTTGGCTCCCCTTTCCATTCCTTTTTCATATGTGGCTCTCAGCATTGGGCCAACCCCTCTAAATGTTTAAACACTCCCAGTACTTCCAATTCTCACTATAGTAGGTAACCCTTCGGTATGGCTACCTCTTCATAGTTTCCCCTTACCAACTGGCTTGCCGGAAGGAAAAGGAACTGGGACCTAGTCTCAGATACCCAGTGAATTTGGGGAGAAAAAGGGTATCCGATTTTTCAGGTTGGAGTTTAAAGGGGAACCCTGCCCGAAAAAACGGGCGCTGGGCCACTGGGCGGTTTAAAGTTTCAACAATCTCTTGGCTTCAAATGTTGGCCTCCTGTCCACCCTTTTTTTGGGGGCGAGCCGTTCCGAGCCGCCTCTGGCGTGGCAAGCGCTGCTTTGGCCGCTCCGCCTGCCGCCAGCTTTGGCGGACCTCTCGGCGGAGGTGAGAAAACGCGTGCCAACAGTAAAGGATACCAAGCAGGAAACGGCAAGTAAGCCTCTCTCTCTCTCTATTTCTCTCTCTCTCTCTCTCTCTCTTCCGCCGTTGCGTCCAGATATTCTTGACTCAGCAAGGCAACGAAAACGGTGCCCATTGATATTGGCTACAAGTAAGCCTTTGGCCTGATGCGTTGACTTTTTTGAGGAATCTGGGACAAGGAAACGGACATCCGGACATCCTGTGAAGGGATTCGACACTCCCAAGGGTGTCAGGCGAACCATGGCATGGCGCAACTTGCGCAGCTTGCGCAAGGCATATGAGAAATGCACCATGTGATTGGACTTCTCACCAGTACTGTGCCCATGAAAGTGAGAAGCTCAAAGTGACAAGCTCACAGTGATAGGGGAAACCACCCCCAAAGTGGTCCGAGGAGCCCCACGTGGAAGAAACACATCTCGTGCAGTTCTTCAACGGCCATTGGGAGTTTAGCACCTCTGCATCAAAGGAACCTAGGCCAAATTGGTGAAATAAATTCCTTTTAACTTACTTGTCCACGCTGAGCTACATTCGGAAAGACTCCCTCTAAAATGTGAATGATGAGAGCTTGTCATCAGTCTGCATTCACATGTTCATGAACCATAAATAAATGTCCTTTTACAGAAAACCGCTTGAAGTCCCATCATTGGAATCCTTGCGGCGGATATGAATGGCCCCTGTCCAATCGTTGATGATGCGACCACGTGCAAGCAGGCTTTGGATGGCCAGGTGTCATGGCAAATATGCACAGCACAGGAATCTGGGCTGCATCTCATCCGCCCGCGTGCCTGTCTTCAACACCACGTCATGCTCGAGAAAGCTGAAGCTGGCGCTGCCTGGAATCAGCGGGCACACGTTGCACTCGGGTCAACATCATCTTGGTGATTTCCAATGGTTGCCTTTGAATGACAAATCATGCCAAAGACAATCGCTACTAACAGTCCATCCAGTTCCTGCATGTTTGACGCCCTTGATTTCCACATCTTCAGTCCGGAAGACTTCGCTCCCGTGCCAGGCTGCGAGTGGCGATAGGCCAGTGCAGCACCTTGGCAGCCAAAATGCAGGAACAGTTCACTCGTCAAGAGACCCAACCAAACCCAGCTTTATGCTTCAAAAGGAAGTAGCCCAACACACGTTACAGCAACAAAGACCCCTATTGGCCATGTCCTTTTGCCCATAAAAGGGAGCCTTCCGTTTTTTGTTTTTTTTGCAGACCCAAAGGAGGCAACAGTGCCACTGAGCAGGGAACCTCACGTCCTATCCCAATGCTTCCGCAAAAAAACTTGGTAGATGATTGAACCACCAGGTAAAGGGGTTTGTTTTTTTTGTTTTAAGCAAACCAACCAGAAAGGACACCTATGCAAGGTTCCCGAGCCCCAGGGTTTGCATACCGGTTTCTACCGGGACCCGGATTCCCGCTGTGGCAGGCCAGCTCAGGCCCTCACATCCCAGTCCAGCGGCATGCGTGACAGACAGGCTGGCTACATGGCGCCAACAGCTTTCCCCAGAGACATGCGGGGAGAAAACGTCAACAGAAAGCGTGCCACTTAGTTCATGAGAAGCTGCCACTTGCGGAGGCTGTCATTCCAATCCCAGCTGTTGTCATAGTAGCCACGCAGGCAGGTGAGATCTGCATGCTGCGGGGCTTCATGAGAAGGCGCCACTACCTTTCTATCTGAATGAGCTTTCCGGCTATGAACGGAGGCCACTTGCAGGGCCGATGTGTCCTGCATGCTGCGGGTCCACGCAGGGTCAGCTTCATGTGTGCCATGTGCATGTTGATGTCTGTTGCCTGCTTTCATGATGTTGCCTGAGCCAGTTGGGAACAGCTGCTTGGCAGAGTGGCGACCATAGTCCAAAGTGGGCTCGCACTGCAGTCCTTTGCAAACATCGCAAAATCGGTTTAAGGCACGGCCTACTCTACAATGAATAAGCAGCCTTGAACAGCTCGGCATGCTCAGCCTTTTTGATTTGTTGTTCATTCAGTTTGCAACGTCTGCGCCTGCGCCAAAATGGCAAGGACTGTAGGAGAACGACCTATCGCCCTCAAACAAAAAACAAATCCAAATGCCACATGGACGCGCACTGTCGGACGCGACACAAAGGCTTTGGCAGCTGGTCGGGAGCCATCACAAGTGCTCAACGCGCGTGTCCGCGAATGATACCCTCCCACAAACTAACATGGGTGTACAAAGCCTCGTTCCTATGATAGAACATGCTCACTGGTAGAATTGGATAACAAACATTTGGAGGGCCCCCTTGCTATATTCCATGCGGAACAAAGCCTGGCCGTTCATCCATTGGTCCTTGGCTGAGCCGTTGGGGACACGTTGGGTAGGGCCAAAACCTCTCGTCAGCCAACTCACGCTGACGCCTCCGGTGGAAGCTTCACCTCTTCTTCGTACTCGTGCCTCAGGCAGTTGGGTTCTGGACGTTTCGGCCGATTTTGCATCCTTTCACGTTCAGTTTTGTGCATGCGTCTTCACCTTGAAACCTTTTCCAAGCATGGTACACCTAGAAGGGCTCCAAACGTAGCTGGGGCTCCCATCGCATCTCACCCCTATCCCTGGTTTGCTCAAAGGACATTGCCTACCCCACACCAAAAACATTCATAAAACAAAAAAGAACGGGTTTCGCCAAGGTGTCCTGACACGTGCAACAAAAAGTTGCCACTTGTCTAGGACGTCGCGCCTCAGCTCCACTGTTGAAAGCTTCTCCATGCGGTCCAACTCTGTGACCAGTGGTAAGCGCTGGTCAGAGCCTGGCAGCATTTGGACTGCATGTGGCCATTCCCTTTCGAGAGTGTAACAACCGCTGAACATGCAGCAACAATGCCCATTACAGCATGACATAGAATGAGACATGCCTTGTAAAGGGGTAAATTCAGGGTGGGTGTAGGGTGGGTTTGGGGTGGGTTTAGGGTGGGGTTTCGCTTAGGGTTGGTTTAGGGTGGGCTTAGGGTTGGTTTAGGGTTTAGTGTGGGAACGCAGTTGCATTATACAAAACGGACAAGCCTCGTTGTTACAAACTAGTTGGATGCAAACACTAGATCGAGATTGTGACATGGGCGCATGGGTCAAGTTCGCTGCACGTTCAAAGGGACCAATGGGCACATGCCATCCACCGCAAACAGCCCAAAGGCTGGCCGCTGCCATCAACCACATTCATCTCTGGCACGTTCAATATATCAAGCTTCGAGCATGGGCGCGGAAGGTGCGCCTATCACAAGAATGCCAGTTTGCCCAAAAAACAACCTATTCTGGGCAACAGCTGGACGTCGCCGCTCTCGGCTCCTGGCTAAAAGTGGCGTCCGACAGACTTGCCTGGATCAGCTTCCGGCTGCCAATGGGCCAAACCTTTTCAAGGAATTGCTACGTGATATTTGATTCCAGAGTCCCAGTGACACTGCTCCTGAGGCCTGTCAAGGAAAGGCCAAGACCCTCGCTTACCGTTTACGGCATTTTCAACAGGGCTTTGGGGGATGCCTTTGTAGCGAATACCTTGGTTGCTGTTGACCCACCTGCAAAAAGTTTAGCTTTTTGGGGGGGTGTAGTGGAAAGCACCTTTATTTCAACCAAAAAGTTAAAGTCTAAAGATCCAACCCAATAGCAGTCAAGATACGTGCAGGTGCTTGTTAGGACCACACCCAATTTTGGGGGACACTGAAGCCGCCGCTGAACACGTGCCAGGACAGCGCAGCCGTTGCAGCGAGACCTGAGAGGTCTCAAGTGACACTTCCTGCTGTGAATTCGTAGGTAACTTAAGGAGCTGGGGGGTCCATGGGTCATGGTGAGCCCGGCAGGGGATGAACAAGATGGAAAATTGCACACTGGGCTGATTTCTAGTGGTGCGTTCCTTTTCAGCGCTCATCCTTCACTTTGTGCTGGCTCAGATTGCTCAGACCAAATGAGCGCTTTCCAGGCCGACTGCCCAAAGCAACATTACACAACACAAACTCACTTGTCCAAAGGACCTTTGGAACCTTTTGGAACCTTGAAAACCAATTCAGGCAAACCAAAAGGTTAAAAGGTCGGCTTTGGGAAACTGAACAAAAAGGGGGTGGCTTTTGTTGTATACTTGATGTGAGGTCCACGTGGCATTGTTTCTGCATCGGCGACTTAAAATAGGGGTTTCGGAGCATTTTGAAGCGTCCCGGGTTGGTGTAGATGAGAGTCAAGGTGTATGTAGAATGGGGTTCAGGCTGGCCCGGCTTGGCTGCTATCATAGGGTGGGGTATGTATTGTACAGTAGTAGGTGTGATACTGGGTTATGTTGCGAGAATGGCAAAAAAAAACCAAAAAAAAAACGGAACAACGCCACACCAACAGCGAATGGAGCAGCGACACAAGCCAACCAGCAGCAATTGCAACACGTGCAAAGCATTGAACAACATCACTACCAACCTGCCTCCCCAAGTCTGGGGACTTCGGAAGTTTAGGGCTTAGGGTTTAGGGTGTAGCGTCAGGGTTGATGGTTTTGGGTTTGGGAGTTTTGTGTTCGGAAGAAGCCTCCAACACAACCCAGTTCGGCGGCAAAGGCTTCATTTTGATGGACCTTCGCCAGCCATGTTTTTGGCCAACGGTGCACGTTTGATGTCCTCACCAGTCAAACACTTGTTGAACACGGGCAACCGAGCAACCGCCTATGCGCAAATGCCAGGGTTGGACGGCAAAGCAAATCGACCGAATCTCATCATTGGGGGATTTTTCGACTGGAAAGTTTGCTCTTGCCAGACGTTTAGTCCAGGAAACCCAAAAGGTAGCCGCGCCAAACGTTGGAATCCGCAACCCAACGATTTTTCTTCCAATGTCCAAATGGATGTCCCTGTTTTGGTAACATCCCCTGAAATGGCGCAACGGTGCTCCTGTTGGTTTCCCTCTAGAAACCCGAAGGGGTAGAAAATGACGCGTCCATTTTGTAAAAGGCGTCAGCATGTTTTTTCCGCCCGAGTTCCAGGTGTCCCTAACCTCCATTTGCTCAAGTCCCCAGGAAGCCAAACAAACAAAAAGCATACTTCCAGTAGTGAGATCGATTCTCTTTGAAACCAACAACGGGAAGTCGCACATGTTCTGAAACGCAACAAAAAGCATCAAAAAGCAGTGGTTGGCAGTGGATCCGGGCAGCGCTGCCAGACCTCAAGCCATCCGGGGCTCCGGCCCCACCAGCCGCCCAGGCGGCAACCTGAGACAGTGACTGGGAATTCCCAGCGTCCCACACGTTTCAGCCCCCCCCCCAAATGGTGGGCGCAACCGGCGTGAGCTTTGAGGGGACCCCCTCCCCAAAACGGCAGAAAGGAAGAACTGACAGAATCTTGGAAGAACTTTGGCCGCAAGTTGAGGTGTAAACCAGCTACGTGTGAGCCAAACTCAGGGGACTGACACATCCCGGGAGCTGTCTGCCGGGGGTGGCAGTTAGGAAGCGTCGCTCATGTTGAATCACAGCTCTGCATTTCGAGGCTTCCTCTCACGCCTCCAAAAGAAGACATGTACAGAATATTCAAGATCTTGGCATCACAAGTGCTGGATTTTAGCCAGTTCGAAGAATATTGATTGGGCAACACTGCCCAGCTTTCACAAGCTGGATCACCGAACGCCTTTCATGACTCATGCAAGATATTGTCCTGTCCAATTTCCTGAAGAATCACTTCATGAGTTGTGCTAGGCCGGAAGTGCAAACCAAACAAAAACAAAAAAAACTGTGCGCAAACTGCTTCTTTGTGGCCGCAACTTTCTTCTCTTGAGGGTCCTGCGGCTCATACAACTCAACAGTAAGGGTGCATGCACTAGTTCACCAGAAGTGAGGTGCAAAGTGCCAGGTTGGGCTGAGTCAAAGTTTCGGACATGTCAAAAGACACCCTGCATAATAGGATATTATGCATGATAGGACAGAGCAAAACCAGAAGCAACAATTGGATTCCCAAACAGGCCAAGATGACAAGCTCCTTCCAGCCCCAAGTGGAATCGCTCGCCATAAAAGGAGACGATTAGTACACCCCCCCCGATTAAAGGTTCCCCCATTTCCCCCCCAGATTCTCACCAATACTAAAGTTACCCACAGCCCCCGTGGTTTGCCGGCACCCCCTAATCCACCCTTGTCCAGCACGTGGTTCAAGCATGGCACCCTTTACTACTCAAGTAGCAGAACTCGTGCAGCCATACCTGACACGTGGTGACCTGCGTTCTCTTCAGATGGTACCACGAGGGCGTGGGTAGCAGGCAGGTCTGGGTTTTTTTAGGGTTTAGGTTTAGGGTTTTAGGGTTTAGGTTTAGGGTTTGGGTTTAGGTTTAGGGTTTTTAGGGTTTAGGTTTCTGCAGGGTTTAGGGTTTAGGGTTTAGGGTTTAGGGTTTAGGTTTGGGGTTTTAAGGTTTAGGGGTTTTCCGGGTTTAGGTTTAGGGTTTAGGGTTTAGGGTTTAGGGTTAGGTTTAGGGTTTTAAGGTTTAGGTTTAGGGTTTTTAGGGTTTAGGTTTCTGGTTTTTAGGGTTGAGGTTTAGGGTTTTTAGGGTTTAGATTTATGGGTTTTAGGGTTTAGGTTTAGGGTTTTTGTGTCGGGGCGTTGGTTCGGGGCGCAGGCAAACCTCAGGGGCTGGCCGTAAAGTTACTAAAGTAAAGTGCCAACAAGGTTTCCCCCAAAAAACCCTACCCAATTATGTTTGGGCCCTCCCCAAAACCCCCCTGATTAAAGGTATCCCTCTGCAGCCCCCAAGCCAACAAAAACCTGCCAGAAAAGGTGCTTTCCTTCTTGCTTAGTATTTGCTTAGTCTGTGCTTAAACCCACCAATACTGAGTCACTATTGAACCCCAAGTTTTTCCCAAAATGTGCCTCCCCCGAAATGCATTTTTCTTTATTAAAATTTGTTTAAAATGACAAGGTTTTCAAGCTCACAAAGGGGACCCCCGTTGGAGGCCAGTCCCCCCTCATTAACAGGAACCCCCCCGCGAATAATCAGGGCTCGTTTGGGCTCAAAACCAAAAAATGTGCTGTTGCCTTTTAAAGTCCTACTGCCCCGAAGGGACCAGAAGTAAGAGGACGAGGAACGAAGGGGCTCCAGAGTAATCAGGGGGGTCCTCCCAAAAATCTCAATTTTTGGGACTTTTGCAAACCTTGTCGACCTTGAAGGGGGGGGGGGGGGGGGTTACTAATCAGTTGTCACCATTATTTTCCGTGACCTCTAGAATTTACAACAGGGAAACCTCTGGGTACCTATAGTGGCGCAACGCCGGAAGGAAGCACTGGGACCAGCTGAATGACCAACCGTTTCCGGCCTGTCCCTGCGTCAGCGACTGCGAAGCCAGGCGCCTTGGTGCCGCCGAAGCCGCGACACGCTTTCGGAAAGAACCCCCTGCGAGACAAGAGCCACTGTCATCTTGCCCGAAGCAGAAAACCGAACCACAAAGAAAACCCTTGCTATATATTAGTATATTACATGCACGCATATATATATATATATATATATATTAGTATATTATATGCACGCATATAATGCAATACTGAAAAAAACACATCCATTTGTATACACATAGAAAAGGATTGAACAGGGCCCAGTGGAACACGAAAAAATGCCATGCCGACAAAATTCACGGACGATCCTGACGGCTTTGAAGCCCCAGCTCAGTTCGCTCGCCCGGGACAGAGCAGTTCGAATTGGCACCAAGGAAGCCGAAGGAGACTGAATTGAGGGACCACCCAGCAAGAATGGGACAGGTTTTGTAAATCCGGGGTAAACATTGATTTTGTTTACAAACCGACCGCACACAGCCCCAGGCGCCCAAAACACCGACCAGACACCAAAAACACCGGGAAGATAAAAACAGACACCCAAAAAACCCGCCAGACCCCCCAAAACACCCAAACCATCCCGAAAAGCACTCCTGTCCACAGAAACACCGATACCCTTTGGTCATTTGTCCTGATGCATGGACTTACACGTCCTCGCCAAAGAGCTGCATTCCTAGCATACGCATTTGGTCCAGCTCGAAGCGGTCTATAGCTGCGGCCTGCGCCAGCGAAAAGCCAACCTCTTGCCAAGAGTTCGCCACTCACAGGCTCAAGGTGGGTTCTGCCAGTCATCCTTGGCTGGCAGAGATGAAGGCATCCAATCCAGCGGCGCAACACTCCCTTACTAGGTCCTCCAGTAGAGAGGCTAGAATAAGGGTACCAACTTTTTTTCTGTAGTCTATTTGGGAACCCTCCCCCAAAAAAGGGTAAAAGGCACTACTGGAGGACCTAGCTTACGCAAGATCTTTCAGTACACTCTGCTTGATCAAATCCGAGAATTGCGAGAGTGAGCCATTGTGATGAAGCTGCTAGACCCCTTTTATGCTGACATCCACCAGCCAGCTGGGCATGCACTCAAATACTTGCAACACAGCTGCCTCACGTTCCAACAGGCAGGCACTATGTCCAGCGAGTAGAGCTAGAAAACGTAAATGTGACGCTCACAGAATGCAGCAGAGCAGCCGTATTCACGCCTGAGCATCTGACACGCATTGCGCAGCCCACTTGGTAGCTTTGACAAGGGCAGCTGAAGCACATGATGAAACCGCTGATGGATGCCCAAAGCACGCAAAAACACACTGACGCACCGAGGCAGGCACGATTCAGCAGGTAGTCCTGCACCTGTCACTGAATGACGGAAAGGTCACTCCCAAGGCACGCGGGGGGGCAGGCAGTGGCAGGGAGGCTGGCAGTGGCAGGTTTGCCAGTCGAGGGCCCAATGTGACTCATACTTGTTGCAGGGACACCTCTACAGATCATGTATAATGACATTTCATCAAACTCGGTCGTGGGGAATGGGTGGTGGTCCGTTTTATTGCCCAAAGGTGGAAGGCTAGCCCAAAACAAAGGCACTGCCATGGTTTCATGCACTCCGGTTTTGTGCCGCAGGCCGGGAACAACTTTTCACCTCCCTGTCTTTTCAACCTCCCTGTCTTTTCAACGCTCATCTGCTCTTCAACCTCCCTGTCTTTTCATTGATGCCCAACTTTTAGATGCCCCTGAACAGCTTCAAATCAATACGTTCGATAGCATGAAAATAACGTGATTGCGTCTAAAAATTACATTCAGATCTCATTTGCAAATCAACATCAGGCTTCTGTGCGTGTTGCCTCGGCCCGACTTCTTTCAAGCGAACATCCAATTTCGTTGCACACGCCCTGTCCGCGACACACAGCAATGCGAAGACCTTCAGTGGGGGAAACAAGGCCAAGCTTTGTTGTGGGGCAGTTGAGTCGATATGGACGCCCTTTCTGACTAAACCGACCAAATAAAGGGGGGCACATACCTTCAGCCAGGGCACGTCGCGGAGCTTCTCTTCAGACAGTGGCACAATGGTGCTGCAAGTGGATGCGAAGTTGTCGTTGAGGTCCCCGCAATCCTCAAGCACAGCTCCGACTGATCATGGCGGCCATGGCAGCGATGCAGGGGCACCATTCGTAGGGGGCGGGCCAGTCCAATTCTTCGATGGCAAGGGGATGGACCATGGCGTGCCACCACCCGGAGGCTCGTGGACCCGCTTCCAACTGAATCAACATGTGTAACTCGTGTGTAACTATTATGCCCTCGCAGCAATGGCTATGGCTGGAATCCTCTGACGCGCTGGTCGGCGCTTGGCTCAGCCCCGAAGTTGGCCCCTGGGGGCCTCAACGCCTTCGCCACCGTTTGCTTCCAAGAGGCGGCGGCGAAGCCAGGCATGTTGCCGGACCCATACCGTATGTTGTACCTTGAGCTGCGTCAAGGCCAGCGCTCCCTCTGCAGCTGCGCAAAAACGAACCCACTGGCGAAACAGTCCAAGGGCAATGACTGCAGCTTTCCAACTTGGGCTGGATGAGCTTCAAAGCCCTGGAATCCAACATGTCTCATCAAAATGTGTGGAGAAAGGCAAACAGGTCCGCGAACCTCGAACAAAACTGCACACGCCCACTGCACAACCTCAAGTTGAGCTACTGGATGCGGGCGTCGTCGATGCCGCCAAGCTTTTGAAAGTACCTGAGAATCAACTCACGCGCAGTGGCTCCAGCCAGCCACGCGCAGCTTTGGCTTCATGGGACACTACAATGTATCTACTAACGGACAGGCAATATGGAATGAAAAGGAAATGGAAAGGACATGTTGATTGTTTTCTCCTAGTTGTTGAGTTGTTGATTGAGCGCCATCTTCCCCGTCTATCATTCAACACACCCTTGCAATCAAACCAGCCTCGATTGATTACCAACTCGTGGTTCCCATGAAGTTGAAACCTTTGTTTGCTCACAACTTCCCATTCACGGACACATCAAGTCGAAGCGAGTCAGGGCTGGCTCCAGCCACTGGAACTGACCATGCCAACACACCCCTTGCGGTTCGCTGAAGGGAAGCATAGGGAGGCCAACAATAAGCAACAAGCCCCACCCTTCTCGGTTGCTTTCTGCCCCCCTGCTAAAAGTGACTAACTTTGAGTGGTTTAGTGGAAAACTCAGTAGTTTCACAAAGTTGAAGTCCTAACATCCAAGCAAAGTGCACCAACGTTTTCTTGGCTGTGGTTCCCATAGGAAAACCGCCCCCGTTTTGGACGCCCTCCTCTGCACTCCTGTGCGCTCTTGCAGACAAGAGGCTCCTTACTCAAAAGCTGATCCCTCAGCTCATCGGCTGAATTGTCAATGGAAGGAATCAGTCACGTCCCAGTTTGCTTCAAAAGGGACGAGTTTGGGTTCTTAGGTTCAGGGTTTTGTATGAGAGTTTGGGTTCTTAGGGCTCAGGTTTTGGGATGTGTGAGGTTTAGGGCGTGCGAAAGGTTTAGCTGTACTGTATTTAGGGTTAGTGGAGTATGTTTTGGGTTCGGCCTAGGGCTTGGGTTTTGGGTTTCGGCCCAGGGTGTGGATCTCAAGGTCGCCCTGGCTCGTGTCAAATGGACAAAGGTCGGAGGCCAGTCAATGCTGCCAAGACTCTGGTTTCTCAAGTTCACAGAGCGCGAAATGGGGTGACACCCGGAGCAGTTGGATTCAAAGGCCCTCTTGCCTCAGCGATACGCGCAACAGATTGGGCTTCATGGCCACATTGAAGCACCAGCAAACTCGGGGTGTTTGATATTTGGCTAGTGGTTGGCAGGTGTTCACCTTTCAAGGAGCATGATGCTTCTCTTTGACATGTGTCATGTGTCCGTGAAAGCCACACAAATAAGACATGCCACTAGTTTGCTAGTGCAGGTGCCCAAAGGCAGTTGCTTGCAGCAGGCTTGTGGCTCGAATTGTCAAAACGAGATCTCCGCCACATGTGAGCTGCGGCTACAATTTGTGGCTTCGGCTTGCGTCTGCGATGCGCGGTCACAGCACAATCTGGTTAGCTGTGGCTGCGTTGCATGGCCCTCAACTCGCCTTGGGCCCATGCGTCCCAGCCGGTAGAGGTACCCCAAGCGACGCATGCCATTCCAGGCTAAATAGTAAGCAACTGGTTAACTTGAAGAAGCCACTTCTAAGGCCATCGTTTCACGGCTCACGTATGCACCAAATGATAAAGATAAAGGCCACATACCAACTGCTCAAACACTTTCCTGGAAGAGATTCATGGCAAACATGAGTGACTTCAGAAGCTAAATCATTGGGAAACCAGATGTAAACTCGCATTCGGACACGCTTTTGCACATGTTGTCGTAAGAAGCGTAGACGTTTCAAAACTACACACTGCCTCATATACGATTTGGCAGGCAGGACAGACACATTCGAAGCCAAAACAGCCTTCAAGTCAAGCTGAAGCGCCCTGCTTGTACCACTTCTCAGTCTTCAGCACATCCATTGGCGCTGTTCTTCTCCTGGGGCGGCAGCTTGTGGCAACTAGGTGAATTGGCATTTCAAGCAAAGTACACCAACTACTCACAGCTATTAAACGCTTTCGGGAAACGAGCATGGCTTGCCATCAGCTCCGCCCAATCGATCCCTTTAATTCATCTGGCCTGACAAAATCACCTAAGCCTAAGCTTGACATGACCTTCTGCCTACGTTTGCCTGAAAAGGAACACCTCATCTACCCAACCGATACCTCTCTTGAAAATATGATGTGCGACCTTGGCATCCCTTCGGACTTCCTGGTCTAGATTGAACTACGTTCGCTACCTTCCCACCCACCGGGGTTGCTTTTTCAAGCTTGGAATTTCCACAATGGCTTCGGCGTTCCTCTTGCTTTCCCTTTAAACCCTGTCCTTTTTAAGGCTGCAACCCCCCCGACAAACATGGTGGTTGTCCAACACCTGCCCCAACGGGTACCAACAAACAAGAAACACCCACCTGGAAGACCCTTCTCAGAACCCTCCGAACTGGCGCCTATCG